ATGGATGATCTGTTTTAGATTTTTACATTTTATTTACTGAAATGTAATTAGCAAAGTATTAGTATAGCATTTAATAGTAAAAGTCAACAAAGTATAAGTATGAACAAGAAAGTATAAACAACAAAGTATGAACAACAAAGTATAAACAACAAAGTATGAACAACAGCGTATGAACAACAAAGTATAAACAACAAAGTATGAACAACAAAGTATGAACAACAAAGTATGAATAACAAAGTATGAACAACAAAGTATTAAGTTATAAACGTAGTTTAACAATTGTTAAAACGTAGTTTTAACAATTTCATTTGTAGAAAACATAAGAAATATAACGTTATGATTTTATACTTAAAATATCTAAAAAACAATTATTTTTCAGAGAATGTTGTGTTATAGGCTAAATTCAAACTAAATTTAAATTATATTTAGAACAAAATAAGCAACAATTTAAAATAAAACACAAAATTTAAATAGAAAAATTTGAATACTGACCATATAATATGCTCTACTCGGAGTTTTCAACATAAATTAATATTATTACTACATAAATTAATATTATTACTACTACATAAATTAATATTATTACTAACTATACTAGATTTTATTGCTATATTACTATTAAATATTATTAAATTATAAATAATGTTATTATTTACCTAAACTGAACTTTATTATTTAACTTATAACTAAATATTAAAATTAAAATTAAAGTAAAATGTATTAATAAATATGAAATAATGTAATAATATGAAAATCAGCACATAAATAATATATTAATGTCACTTTGAAGCTTCTTTGAAAAAATATTTTTTTAAAAGTTTAATTTTGCGCCGTCAGTAAGTATTAATTGTCTAAAGATGCTTTAGTTTTTCTATAATAAATATAGAAATTTGGTCAAATAATTGCAATTCTAAGAAAATTTATTTTCATTACACCCTAGCAAGCATACAAAAATACTGATAAAAAAAAATGCACAATGCATATATAAATGCACAATGCTTATATAAATGCACAATGCTTATATAAATGCACAATGCTTATATAAATGCTTCTTCTCAATCAATTGCTCCTAACAGCTTGGCAAAATGTTGACAATTGATCTTTTCACGTGATGCATTATTTAACAAAAATAGTAATCTAACACATAATACGACCGATAGTGTTGCTGGGCAACGTTGTGGATACTCTTTAGTAAATGGATTTGTTACTTTAATTTCTGACAATAAATGCATTAAAGCGCAGGCCTAAGATAAAATTTCTTAAAAAGTATTTTGGAAATCTAAAGAAAAACATTCAGGGTACAATTAATGGTTTCTATCTCATCAATACAGTACATCCCAAATAATCATATTAGTGTTTCTGGAGCAATTTCATCCGTTAGAGCGCTCAAAATGTTTACTTTTTTTTTCCAATACAAAATTTACATTAAAAAAACTATCGAGTTGATGGAGATAGCAAATTCTAAAAACTTATTATAGATGCTAATCAATATGCAAATTATAAATTCGAAAAAAGTGAGTGTGTTGGATACATACAAAAACAAGTTGGTACTCAGTTAAAATTTGTAAGGATTTCATTTAAAGTATTCTAAAGCGATGTTACGAAAATAACATTCTGAGCGATGTTACGAAATTTACAAGTAAAGATCGAGTGACTGACAATGCTGTAAGTAATCGTCAAAAAACATTATTCAATGTGTATTTGATAGAAAAAAAAGTATTTTTATGGTATGCAAAGAACAACCGCAGCATAAAAGTTTCGAAGAATGTGTGTGAACTATTCAAGACAATTTTCTCGTGAAAAGATTTTGGTGCTGACAGTTTTATTGAGAGATGTTTAAAAAATAAAACACAAAATGCAACAAAATTGAAAAATAACTTTGTATAGACACAAGCCCAAAAAATGTTTTTGTTGATCATTATTGAATATGGATTTGCATCATCTGTTTTGTCATCAAGTTATGGAGAAACTGGTATTTTGTTAGTTTTATAAAACTTATACGTTGCTCAAACAACGCAAAATTTAATTAAAAAAAAAATGCGTTTAGAAAGTGAATAATAAAGACTCTGGCTAAAATCAAAGAAAGACATTGAGACCAATTAAAAAAAGGTTTTGATGACAAAAATAAGGACACTTAAGTGAAAGTTTGTGGACAATGAGAGTTTTAAGTTCGTGTCAGAGTGTATTGTTTTATTTAATACATTTTATTTTATTTTTATACATTTATTTTTTGACTTTGCAATGCAGTTTCTTTACTTAACGATTTTGGATGTTTCCTTAAGGATTGTAAAATATTTGGATTTCTTTGTTTGTGGATCTTCTGTCAAGGATTGGGAACTATTTGAGCTTCTTATATGTAAAAAGTGTTGAAATTCAGAAAAAGTTCAATATATTATCTTAAAGATTTTAATTTGAATTAAGTTAATTAAATTTTCATATCATATTCAGTTTTACGACCGTTTTTTTTTTCAAATTCTAGCGTGTAAAGCTCCATATAGGCAGACTTATATTTGTGAAAGCTTCAGTTGCAAACCTTTTTTTGTTTTTTACTTATCTCTGAAGAAATATTGTGCATTTATTGCTTGAGACGACCTTAATTAGTACATTTTATTGCTTGAGACGACCTTAATTAGACTTTATTAGGTACTTAACTATAATTTTGTTTGTGTAATTTTAAATGTAACAAATTAGTAACATATGCTACTAATTTGATCTGATATCTATTTAATATCTATTTTGATGTCTTATATAAGATATCAAGAAGATATTAGTAAAAAATGATTTATTTAACCATGTAACCTCTTCATGTAACATCCAGAAATAAAATAAAAGTTCATGCTTATTCTCTGTTTAAACTGGAGTCAAATATAAATTTTTATGAAAAATTGGATCGCTTTGAATGATTTTTAAAGCATTTTAAAAACTTGATAATGACCTTGATCCTATTTTTTTTATTGTTTACTAATAATTGTATCACATAAAATTTTCCTTGATAGAAAAATTTTAAGTTTTCTTTCAAAATATATGAGCGTTCCCCATCACACCACGAGTTTTGCTGTAACCACCATCAAAGTTTCAGCTGTTGCTATTATTTTTTACTATACGATGAAAATTATTGAATTTTTTTTTACGTTGAAAATTAAAATCGTATAGTTATATATTTAAAATCAACATTTTGTGAAATTCCACAATTTGTAAAAGGCATAATTTTTATTGAATTTATTAACAAATTATGTTAGTTAAAATCATTACATTATTTTCACATTAGATATTTTGAATTGTAAATTTTTATAAATTTTGTAAAAAAAGATAAAGATTCTACCTGTGCTGAGTTACATCGTTTAAGAAGCGCAACTTTACTTGATGTAATAGAATATTGCAAAGAATGTGAACGCTTAAAAGTGTTACCAGTATCACGTTTTTTTAACTCAGATATGAACATTCTACTTTCTAAATTTAGAAGATTTGTTGAAACATATTTACTTTTATTAATTGAATTTCCTCGGTTAATTGAATTGTTTGCGCTTCTGCATTTTGTAACAGTGGCAAATCTTTTTAGCCTTGGAGTCAACTTCCATGAGTTAATTCGAGAAATATTTGGTGTGTTCAAATACTGAGATAAATATAAAGTATTTGTCTTAAAATCAAGATTTGGTGTGTTCTCAAAGTCTACTGTTTTCTTAACCAATTGATAGGATCGAGGGGCGCAGAAAGTGTATCCACGAACTTTCGTTAATGATGAGTTTATTTTTATAGTATGTCGACTTGTACTGTCTGATGTTGTTCGACTAAGATTCAACCTGGTTCTCGAATCTTGAATATCGTCAGAAATAAGATTCATAATACGATCAGCGTTTGTACTCATGACAATTTCACTTAGAAAATAAAACACGGTTTAATAAAAAACGTTTTTATACTATTTTTCTCGGTGTTTTTGTCGACTAATATAAACCCACATAGATGTTTCAGAAAACTTTTCACGTAAAAAAAGCTAATTACGAATTATATAGAAGTTTTAATCTCGAGTTTTAAAAAATATAAAAAAACCATTATTACTCAAACGTTTAATCATTTACGTAATTTGCGCGTCTAAATTTTTTCAATCGCATCTAATAAATCTATAGGGGTATATTCTACTTCTATAGTTCTTTTTATTCTGGCTGTTTCGAATTAAAATAAAAACAAATTGCAAAGTGAGTGTTGTTTTAACGACTTATTGTGTTTTTATTGTTATTAATACGCATAAATGAGAAACAAAATTATGTTTTTATAATAAATGAAATTGTATTTTTTCTAACAATTTTTGCATTGCTGCACAGCTTTTATGTCGATTAAAAACTTAATTAAAAGGCTGGTAACTAATTTCATCCTTCGCTTAATAGCAATTATTTATGTAATGTTATATTCGTCTTGTAGAAACAAACTATATATATGTACTTGTAATTTAATTCTGCTTCAAAAACTTTCTTGGGTTACTTTGATCTGGAAAAAAATTAGCCGATTAACTGAAAACGTCCAAGCGTCTTGTCAAAATCTCGGATACTCGATTGACTGAAAAATGCTTTTTTGATTTACAAAAAAGTTATTACTTACACTGGCATTCTACAATACTGGAACAAATTTAATTCAGATGCATTATGTATTAATCCTGTTACAATATAAATACGTTTTGATCTGCCATCTTGATAGCATATCATATCATTTGCATATATTATCTGCTTACTTGCTCTCCATAAAAAATAATAAAATAGGAATAATAATAAAAATAATAAAAAATATTAATAAATAGAAATAAAAATAAAATAGGAGAGACAAGGGTTATTAGTCTACAATATTAGCTTTTGAGCTCTTAAATAACAACCAGAAAAAATGAAACCACCAACAGAATAAAAACAAACAGCATCTGCTAAAAAAATCGTAAATAAGGAAAAAATCGGAAAAACGAACAAAACAAAACAAAAAAAACTACTTATTTAAAACAAATCTTTCTTCATAAATTAAAAAAAAAAAAGTTGTTCATTAAAAAAAACTACATATTTTATGGATAATAAATTGGTAAATCAAAAGGTTTAAACACCAAAGGCAAAGCCAGGATTAAGTTAAACAAGGTGAGTTTTAAACTTCAAACTTGTGTTCATATTTATGTCATGTAACGATGTAACGATATTTTGATAAAAATATAATTGATTAACTCCTGGCAACGAAAATACCATAAAAAGAAGGCATCACCCACCTAAATGAATAGGAAATCTCAAAGTATAAATTATTATATAAACTAGATAAAAATTTATTTATAAAAAAAGTTTTATTATGTTTAGACGCTAAACACATGTAAAATTAATACTACTTTGTTTTGAGGGGGATTTAAACTTTAAATGGTTGCAATATTTGAACGCCATAAAATTTTAAATATGTTTATAAACTTTTGTTTTATTTAACTGAAACATTTTTTGAAAAACCCAATTAACTAGGAGTAATTTAAGGTGAGTGCTTACTTTTAAAAGTATTTTCGTTCTTAGGCTTTTGTTCAGAGTAATTTTCAAGCATGACCATACAAAGGTATTGAGTTTGAACTTATCTGGAGATGCTTTAGTACCAAAAAATCCTGGATCCACCAGCTGAAAATCGTCTACATAAAGCTTCAAAGTTAAATCTACAGCGCATTTTTTCCTCGTAACAAAAGATTTCCATTAATCTTTATTTATCTTTTGTTTAATTGTCTTTTAAAAATCAGATTATTTTTTCTTGATATAATCAAATATTAAAAATGCGCAACAATTAGCTCACTGCGTTTATTGAAAGAAATCCTAATTTTGTTTAGACTATGTTCGAAATCTTTTCTCTTATAAAATTTTTTTGACAACTGAATCTTTTTTATTTAGGCACTCTGATTAGTTTAAAAAAGCAAATATTTTCAATTGTTCTTAAAACTCTTTAAAAAAAAATGTTACTTTTCAATATTTACATCTGATAAGGGTATTTAATCAAACGAAATAAACCCAATTTTAGTACAGCATTGTATCTTTTAACTGACGTAATAAACAATAGGTATCGTTTTTATATTTGAATTTTTATAAACTCACTAGTCAGGTTTAAAGGCTAAAATAAAAGCGCATACCAGTTCGATTAAAATTAAATTACAAACTTTTATGCCATGTTTGGGCCGACAAGACTGGGGAGGATGGGGGAGGGGCGGTTTATAAGCACTCCCCCACCCCCTACTTTTTTCTAAACCTTTTTTTCTTTTTAAAAAACTTTCCAGATATAGAAGACATTTTTTAGAATTTAAAAGTTGTGTCCCTTCACTTCGAAACCTGAGTCGTCGGCCCTGAAAAGTAGTAGTGGAAGTATTAAAACAATCTGAATTTGAAAAAAAAATAATTTGTTCTCTAAAGTTTTTATGCAGTATTACAAATAAAATATTCTCAGTTATTTACTTATTTTTGAATAAATTTTTAAAAATAGTTAAGTTAACCTGAATTTAATTTTTAAATTTATTTTTGATAATTTGTGTACAATATCTTCTTTGACTCGCCTGTTCAGTTTTTATTGAGAACGTGCCAAATCAATAAACTCAAGCAGATTCTATTACGTCACTCTCAGTTAAAAAATCAGGAAGAATGAATTTATTAAAATAGTTTAGAAATCGTAATTCAATTAATCAAAATTGTTTTCTACTTCTAAAAATAAATTCAAAGATCTTGATGTACCCGTTTCAAAGTATTTGCGCATCCGTGATATATACTTTAAAACAAATAGACGTAAACGTTTTTGAATGATATTGAATGGTTTTTATTAATGTTATAACCAGTTTTCTCAAACTTCTTGATTTTTATTACGCTTTTTGCGTCAATCGTATATTCCTGATTATGCATTTGGCATATTCTTTAACATGTGCTTGGTTTTTCTCTGTAATGCCCTTTACACCTAACCTGTTACCTGTTATATCGTCGGTTCTTTCCTTATTATGTACTTAATACTTTCTCTGTTTTTGTGGTTACCTTTGTATTACTTTTGTTGTTACTTTCTATGCATCATAAAAATATTTAAACATTTTCTGTTTCAACACTCATAGCTCAATTAACATAAAACTTAACACGACTTAAAAAATTGGACATTGAATGTTAATCTGGTGACGTAATCATTCATTAATTGAGACAGAAAGTGAAAATTGTTTTTAAAAATTCTTTTTTTTATCTGTTTTTAAATCTTACTTGTTGAATATTTTTGTTAATAACATCAATTATTAAAAGTATAATAATAATTGATGAAGAACTTGCATGAAGAGAGGCAGGGAAACTTGCAACAAAACAAATACGCACCAATTGACGGATACCCAACCAGCACATCTAGTTTCTTATTTGGAATTAAAACCTGTCTAGACACGTGTTTGTTACAATGCAGGCGTAATTCACAAACACGTGTATATTACGGGCAGTTTGACTTTAATTTACGTGTTTTTTGAGCTTTTAAAGTCAAATTTAAAATGTCGCATGCTTTTATAAGTGGTTTCACATTCCTTACGGAAATTTATTATAATATAATACTACGTTTCCGTAACGGTGAAATCATTAACATTTTAACTACACTTTTTTGCGCTTAAGTTGGCCAATTTTCACTTTAAATTGGCATTTTTTCATTTTAATTTGGCAATTTTCACTTTACAAATTAAAGTGAAAATTGCAAAATTAAAATGAAAAAATGCCAAATTAAAGTGAAAATAACATTAGTAGATTAAGTTGGCCAATTTTCACTTTATTTTAGCATTTTTTCATTTTATTAAGCAATTTTCAATATAATTTGTAAAGTAAAAATTGCTAAATTAAAATGAAAAAAGTGTATATGACGTTTAAAAAACGTCTTTTTTACGTCCGTGTCCACTGGGTAAACGCAAAAATAATTTTTACTAAATTGTAATAGTTAATTTCACGCAATGAAAACCATTCTTAACACGTGTTATTTTTAACCTAAAACAAAAATTTTGATATCTGATTTTTAAGTTCTTTTTTTTTTGTATGTATTTAGGTGCTCTCAGAAGTCCTTACGGTCTTATCATTGAGCACTGCGGGAGAGCATTTAACAGGAAGTTCACGCCTCTTTCCGTACCTATGTCGCTTGTTGGGCTAGAGCTGGCGTCGAACCGCGGACCTATGGGTTCTGAGCCAGAACTCTAACCACTCCGCCACGGCTGCTCTTAATTTTTTGATGTCTGATTTTTAAATTTTTATATTCCTCTTTATTTTATGACCATAAACTTTTCACTATAGTAAAATCGTTTCTTGCTTACCTAAAAAAATAATTCAACATTTTTTGTTTTTAAAGTTTAAACTTTTGTCGTAACAATGAAAAGAACTCAAAATAATACAATTACAAAATAATAAATATTTTATTAGACTTTAAAAGCAGCCAAAATAACATTAGAATTAAAAATTTATTAACTTAATGCGCGTTAAAAAAGTACCAAAATAGGGCCCCAACTTCTTAAATTTTTTTTCCAAAGGGGCCCTAAATTTGCAAATGGGCTTCCTAAAATTACTTTGAAAAGTAACGTAAAAGAATAAAAAAAAAATTGCCGTCATACGATTATTAGTTTAAATATTTTATTATTAGTTTGAATAATTGAGGTATTTCTGTGAAACATTTGGTCTGTAATCTTTTAAAATTTATTTAAAATGTAATATGCGTCATCAAGATTTTATGTTACAGCTGAATCCTAACTTTATATCTTATTTTCAGACATGTGAAATCTCAAATTCTTGAAGCCTATTTTTAGGTGAGGACTCTGCTCAGTACTGCTATTTTTTAACCATTGCAAAGACATTTAAACACTAGAATATTCCTCAAGGAAAAAGAAGAAAAAAGGTTCAAACTACTAACATATAATTTTTTTGATAACTGTTTAAATTGAGAACATTTTAACTTTAGGTGAAAAAAACATGTTGTTTAGGAAATTTATTTGTTTAAACTCGTAGTAAAAGTTGAAGCTCTCTCGATCTATTATCGTGTCCAATTTAAAAACGTGTTTTTTTATTAGATTTAAGATAATCTAAATCAAATCAATGGAGCAAAATCCCAAAAGTATTATTAAAAGTATTATTAAAAGTATTAAAAATCGACTTTATTAAAGTCTTAAATTCAGTATAAACTAACAAACAAACAAACAAAAGCTAAAATTTTTTTAAAAAGTAAATTTTTTTATTTTTTTGTTATTATTATTATTTTTTTTTATTTGTTATTTTAGGTGCCCAAAAAAGACCTAACGGTCTTGTCACAGAGCACCGCGAAAGTGCATTTAACCAGGAAGTTCACGCCTCCTTCCCTACCGTGACGCGAAATATGTCCAATGCTCATTTTTTTTAAAAACATAAGCAGAAGTAGTTATATATGAAAAAGCTATAGTTTCTCAAAGATAAGGATTTAGTTAGAAATTTTTAATTTAAGTTACTAATTTGCTTTAACTACACTGAGTAGCCGATACTTTATTAGTAACGCAAAACTTAGTCGTCTAATAAACCAGGAGTTTATAAAAAACACAGTCCGTATCTTAAGTTCTTGCATTCGGGTAGTAAATTCCATATTGCCTTTGGAGTTACTGCAATTTACATTGCAACGACAAGGTTTGTATTAAATTTGGCGCTTTTCTGGATCTTCAGATATAGATGATCTTAGTTCTTCATGTAGTTGACATGTAATTGCGTAAATAGTTTCCATAATTTCTGCATTTCTTATAAAATAATAATAATAATCAAATTCTTAATGGTTTATTATGGTTTTAAATAAATTTTAAAAACCAATCTAAGATTTTTGTTTGTACTGTTAACATGTGTTAAAATGGGTTAGAAGTTAGAAGCAGAAAAAGAAAGTTGCCCGTCTATTGTTACATGTGTTAAAATGGGTTAGAAGTTAGAAGCAGAAAGTTGCATACCTATTGGGATGCAGCATGTAGTTTTTGGTATCTAAAAATTTATTTAAAATGTTTTCAACTGTTTTTTAGTTATTAAATTCTTCAACTTTTTTGAATAAAGATGAGATAGTTTGATGAAAAGTAAAATAATCGAGATGACACAAAGATTGAAGGATGACGCAAAAATCAAGGATGACGCAAAATTTGTGTTAGTGATTCTTCTTGTTAACTTTTTTTTTTTAATTTTTTTAATAAAATATTTTCATTCAACTCTTTATCTTATATAAAAACTCAGAAAAAAAAAACTTTACCGAAAACTTTCTTGTGCATGTTGACGAAAACCCAATCATGGGATTTTTGAGTGGTTCAAATGAGCCATCTGATAATTTATTTGGAAAAGAGTTTACATGTGGAATTTGCTTTTGTAAAACACCTTTACTCATTGAAAAAGCAGATCTCTTCCTAGTTTTATGAGATGTCCCCATTTTTGAGTACTTTCGTATGCTTGTACTTTTTACCGAAGTGTGACGTCGAGATGACGGCGAACCCTAAAAAGAATTTACAAAAACTTTTTAGATACTAATTTGTTACTAGATGTTAAAAACCTAGTTTTACCTCCAGAATAAAAAAAATAAATAATACGTACACAGTGCATCTCAAAAAAAGTATTATTATTTTTTGTTTTGATTTATTTCATTTTAGAACATGCGACCAATTTAATTTCAAGTGAAAATAAAAAGGATGATAAATAATACATTTAAGCGTAATAATTCTTTTTATAAAGTTTTAATAGGTGATAAAACGTTATCGTTTTAAAAGATTTCTTCCTTTTAATTTTTTTTCTTATTTTGTGATGCATAATTAATTTAGTATTTTAATAAAGTTCTATTAAACTATATTAAATTTGCACAGTATTTGCGAATAGTTTTAAACTCAAAAAGTATCACTAAAATCATACGTTCGAAGGCGTATTTATGTTATTTAGTTATAAACAAAAATATAAATTAATAATCTAATTTTTATATATTATATCATTATATTTATTTATCTGTTGATAAAAATAAATATTTATAATAAAATAATTTTAATGAAACTTGCATATTTAGTTTGGCAATTTTTTTTTAACAAGTAAATAACGTTTAAAAGGTTTTCCAATCATTTCTATTTGCAAAATTTAATTTTTATAAGTATAGCAGAAAATGCATGAAGGTTTTTGATCCTCCAAAGTTAAAAAAATCAAGTTCTCCTAAAGTGCCAGGGCACAAATCAATCGAGAATTTAATGAAAAAAAGCCCTTACGGGCCAGAGATTCAAATCAGAAGGTGATTCGTTAACATTGGCTTGTAGCTGTGAAAAAGGTTATAGTTTTATAAAAACTATAAATAACTCATTTTATAAATAAAACTTGGAAGCAGGTCATGCCGGTATTGAAGTATAGGCTGCGTACTTTTTAATTCAAAAGTTAATATGCCCCTAATCGTTTAGTTTAATGATAATCAGGCAACTTGTAAATACAACTTGCAATAAGAAATCTTAAAGTCTGTAACTGCATATTAACTGTTTGTTATTTTTGTTTGTTATGCTTCAATGCACAGTAAATGTCACAATCGTTAATGCACAATGAACATCACAAGCTTTGATGCACACTGAATGTCACAAGCTTCAATGCACAATAAATCTTACAAGCTTTAATGTAGTTGAAAAGAGTTCTAAATTGGATTCCAAAATCAAGATTAATGATAAAAATATTTAAGGCATTTCAGATACGGAAGTAAAGTTCTTTAAGAACATAAATTATAAGTTATTTACTCATTTCTATTTATTTATTACATTCAAAAAAATCACATTTCACTTAACTTTATTAAGCACTGATATTGAGCAAACAATAATTATTTAAAAATAAATTTGAAAAAAAGTTTAAAGTTTTCATGATTTTTATTTAGGGGTTTCATGATTTTTATTTAGGGGTTTCATGATTTTTATTTAGGGATTTCATGACTTTTATTTAGGGGTTCGTTTCAGTAGCTTTTTCTAAAATTAAAAGTTTATTTAAACTGACGTATGATGTAAATAAAACCGACAAATCATTTAAATAAAACTGTTACTAAATTTTAAATTTAAATTTTTTTATTTAAACTTAATTTGAATATTCAATTTACAAATCTTAATAACTCAGTTTTAAATAAGTTGATTACGCCACAAAATATTATTATATTTTGTGGCCGACTGTTTAGATTCTGTAAGCAGTTAAAGTAGACACTACTTTGTATGGGTTTTAACAATCATTATAATAATTTTGGTGTTTATTGGAGCATTATTAAATCACAGTTTCCATTTTTTGCAGAGAATGTGACAAAAACTTTGCTTAGAAATTTCAAAACTTTAGTTTTAAAACTTAAAAAAAAAAGTTTTGACTTTCTAATTTTGTTTCATATATATTTCAAGAACATGGAGTTAACCTCCACTTAAGAAACCTTTCTATATTTTTTCTAGTAATTAAGTTTTTGCTCTACCACTAAAATAGAGTATTATCCACATGGAAATCAACAGTTATTCACATGGGAATTAACAGTTATCCACAAGGGAATCAACAGTTATAGAAGAAACGTTGTCAATAGTTGTAGTTAAATTCATTAAATTTATAATTAAATAACATTTAGTTTATAACCAAAAACAGAAATTTTTGTCATTTTTATTACTATATTTTAATCATTCCTTTTTTTTTTTTTTTTTTTCAATTATTTTATTACTTTTTTTTTTTTTCAATTTTATTTCTTAACATTTTAAAATTATTATTTTTCAAATTCTGTTGCTTTATATTACGGATTATTATATATTACGGATGTTTATTTGGGGCTCGGTGATAAAGCTATTTTATGCCTTCTTCTTGCTCCAGTCAATTGTACTTTTTATATTGTTGTACTTTGTGAATATTTTTAACGGCAAAATAAGCTAATAAACTAAAAAAAAACAACAGTTATACAAGAAAAAACAAAACCGCAGCAGAACAGTCATTTGAACTGAAAACTAAAAATTTTGTTGTTGTTGAATTTAAGAAAAGCATGGTTATTATGAGATTTTTAATTTCTCTGTTCTTTATATGGTAACAATCCTTTTCTACTTCCGAGCCGTTAATTGGTCCTAAAAAAACGTCTTTTTAGAACCAAATGTCGGCTGGGTTAAAACAGAAAAATTATGTTTATCCTATTCAAAAAACAAAATGTTAGCCAAAAGACTCCTAAGATAAGTAAGTTATAATAGCTTTTAATAACTATATTAGCGTGTTGAATTTCATCATAATGATTAAAAAAATGGCAAAATAAACTAAAGTATGATGTTGACAGCTTCATAGATATTTGCTATTTTTTGTACATAAAAATCTTTTTTTATAACGTTATTTTCTTACCATTTCTTTGAGCCTTATTGATAACCTACTTGATGAAAATCTTACAAATGGTACATTAATGTACCGATATTCACTATTAAAACGATCTTTGTTTGACAAACTATTTGGTAAATTAACAACATTTTTTACACTGAGTTTTGAAGTAAACTCTAGCTCTTTCTTTATTTTCAATAACTCCATTTCTTCTTTAACGCAATAATCATAAAACTCAGCATATTCATTATTCATAGTTTCAATCATTTCAAAATCTACAATTTACACTATCATTAGTTACACTTTTAGTGAAGGTCTCTTTTATTTTAATTCTTTGTTTGCTTATGTTTTTCCACGATTAAACATTTGTTTGATTGCGGATAACAATTTCCATGGAAACGTTTGATTCGGATTTTTAGTTTAGATCAAAAAGTAAACTATAAGGTTTGTTTTCTTATTTTTCAATAAGAACAAAAATTATTATCATGATTTCTTATTAATGAAAATTTTAAACCGTGTTAAATTCATTAAATGTCGTTAATTAAATGCAAGTTTAAAAGGGTTGGTGAAAAAATTCAATAATTAATTGAATAATAAAATAATCTATCATGTAATTTGGTTGTTTAAATGTTCGTTTCTTTGGTGCTCCTAAATTTCTGAAGTGAGTTTGTATTGATAAAATTTTTTTATATAGGCCCGAGGAGGCCGAAAAAGCATACGTTCTTTATGGACGACCCCTTATTAATACAATTATCCATGATAAAACCAAGAAAATTTTAAAAAATAAACAAATAAATCAAAATAATTCAATAACTCTCTTGCTTTATTTAAGTTAAAGTTTTTAAAAAGATTTAAAATCTCACTATAAGTTTTGATTTAATTTAAGATGACAAATAAAAAATTTTACCCGAGGTGCAATGGGAAAGGGCGTCAATCACCTTGATAAATGGCAAACAATTTTTATTTCTTATCAATATAAAATGAAAATAAAAGTAATTAAGTTTTCCTCATGTCTGATTATTGTTTTTCTAAAATAATTGAAATCAGTGAAGTGAAAAATGGGGTACGCGAACCTTTTAGTAAATTAAAGCGACAGCTTTCCAAACTGTACATTTTGTAAACATGCTTTCATGTAATTCATTGTATGTTATATGAAATAGAGTTATCTAATATATGTTGGTTTATTTTAGATAGATATTGCATATGCCAATATATCATTGGCAAATAAATAAAGTTTCTTCTTTTGCTAGCAGAAACATGCACCTAGAATTTGATTTTATGAAAATAAATTTATTCGTGCAAATCCATACTAAATCCAATGTATAGATTAAATATTTTTCAAATTAAAACTCATCAAAAATTTTTTATGCTCAAGCAATTAATAAGAATTGTCCCAAGTTGATTTAAAAAAAAAGTTTTAAAAACTAACACAATTTTTTCTTTTTTTTGGTTTGGTGTCTCTAGTTAGCAAAAAACAACCCCCCCCCCCCCCATGTAAGACCTTTTTAGGACGGCCCTGCACAAGAGTAAACTGAAACTTTTTCGTAACCTTAAAAAATTCTCATAACAGTCGTTGCACATACAACAAATTAATTTGAAAATGTTCTAAATACAAAACTTGTTTTAAAATGATGGTTTAAATTAAAAAAGACACATTTCCACCTGTGAATGTGAATGCGAAAGAGTTGTCATTAAGGGACATTATCATTAAGTTGAATAGTCCAACAAGAGGTGCTAACACTTTTGCTAGACCATTTGGCAACTTATTACCAGGTTATTATGATATCCTGTTATCAAGTACAAACGTTTTGGTCGTTCTCACTATCTAAATGCCTAACAAAATTCAGAAGAGTTTGTTGACAGACCAGAAATACATGTGGAGAATTACATCTGCGTTAATTTGCGTGCAATTCAATAAGGATTTACAGCGTTTGAAGATTGGACTATGCAGCCACAGCTGCTAGGTTACGACTGCATGCCGTATTTGCAGGCTGTATGTTACTGCAACAAAACCATCAACAGTTTTAAACATTTTGACTGGGTATATTGTGAATGTTTAAAACTCTATGTGATTTAATGCGAAGTTTTTTGAGCTTGGGATTAATGGTCCTCATTATCTGATCTGTTTTTCTTAATGCAAAGATATTAGTAAATAGAAGATGATACTGC